AGCCTAGGGTGACCGGCTCGACCGTGTGACTCGCTCGGCCGTGGATTACGTTGCCTGTACTTCTAACTTCTGTAGCTGAATTGCCTTATATTGGGAATATCAAGAAATGAGTCAATGTACTTGGCATTCTTCTGCTGATTTGTAAAATACGAGATATATCCGCAGTGATTTCAAAGCAAGTCTTGGCTGCCAAGCATACAGGTACCAACATGGAACCACATAGAACGGACCTCACATATAAATCCAGTCGGGTTTCCCTGAGCGCATTCAGCAGCAAAGTCAGCCTTCCCTCTGAAAGTCTTATTAGAATGTCATCTGTTAGCATACTTGGTCTTGGGGCCATGGGAACGGCCCTGGCCGCTCGGTTCCTCGAAAAGAAATACAAAGTCGCTGTATGGAATCGATCTCCAGAAAAAGCAAGCCCTTTGCTCGACAAGGGCGCAAATATTGCCCAAACAGCGGTGGACGGTATCAATGCAAGTGACCTGATCATTATCTGCCTCCTCGACAACGCCGCTGTCCAAACAACCCTCGCCGGCGCTCTTGACCAACTACAAGGCAAGACAATCGTCAACCTAACAAATGGAACACCTGACCAAGCTCGCAAGATGTCAGACCTGATCGTTGGTCACGGTGCTCGATACGTCCATGGCGGAATCATGGCTACTCCTTCCATGATTGGTTCACCTCATGCTCTGGTTCTGTACAGCGGGTCACAACAAGCATTCAAGGCCAGCGAGCCTGATATGTTGATGCTAGCTAAGTGTGTCTTTGTCAGTGAGGATGCGGGCGCTGCATCCCTGCATGACCTGGCTCTACTTAGCGGCATGTATGGTCTCTTCTCGGGCTTCCTGCATGCAACTGCCCTCGTGAGGTCGAGCACACCCGCCGTTAAGTTCATGGACCTCTTGGTTCCCTGGCTGGGAGCAATGACCGAGTACACTAAACGGATGGCAAAGCAGATTGACGAGGGAAACTATGCCAGTGAAGGATCAAATATCGCTATGCAATTGGTTGCTATCCAGAATATTATTGATACCAGTGCGGCCCAGAAAGTCTCTGCGGATTTCATTCGTCCGATGAAGCAATTTATGGAGAAGGCAGTGGCGGCTGGTCATAGCGGTGATGATATTTCTGCTTTGATTTATTTTGCGAAGCCATCATGATTTGATCCTGTAAGGTTCCTTGACCGTGGCGGATAATTGGGACCGAACAACCGCATGTCCTTGCGTATGTTAGTGATACAACGCTCGCTACACTTTGCCAGTTTGGCCATTTGTGGTGTAGTCAGTCTTTTCTTGCTGCTTATCGTATGTACAATCATGTTACGCTGCCAGAAACCCAGGGTTCGCGCCATTTTGCAACGGTTTAGGTGTTGATTCTTTGCCTGGGTTGGGACGTTTGAGTTGGGACGACGACATGGCAGGCATGGTTATTCTTGGATCGGTAATAATACATAAATTACAGATTTCGTCCATTTGAATTTAAGGTTTAAAAAAGAAACATGACTTAAAGTACGGAGTAACCATATCTGGATTTATAGGATCATGTGACTAGGGTTTGAAAGAGCATCTCTGTGTTTCTGACACGGAAGGCGATGTCGGGCACGACTATACACCAATTATGGTTAAAGTCCTCTGTGATCGTCTTCTCAAGAAGCTTCATTTATACCTTAACGAGATGGCGATTTTCCTATGGGACGAGTTTCAGGTACTTGGCTTGCCCTCTACACTACATCGGTCTCGCTTTCTGAACTACAGTAATGTTCAAATCAGATTTACCTCTATACTCTCTCTTACTCTCTCCCAGCGCCCCACCCAGAAACCCACTATACCATATTAGGCAGTCTTTCCGCCCGCCTTGCAACTACTGATGTACCTTCGATGAGTCATAATATATTATGGTAATAATCCTGGTCTTTCACATCCCCCAGATCAACTCAAAATCACGTGTTGTGATATCAGCATTTACGCCTCAGGCATATCACATTCAGAATTCATGCGCAAGTGTCAGCTAGGGTAGCGGTGAACCTTTCATCATTATTAACGATTGTGGACACCACTGAGCCGTCGGTAAATGTGTCTTATCACTATAAATGGGTGGAGGAGTACTTGATACTGGGGGTCCAGACTTAAGCAATCTCGTTCAATCGAATGGTTGAACCCAGCAATTTAGCTAGTCCAGTCGTACATTTCAACGCACTGAGATTATAAACTCGCTCTATGAAGACTCTTCTCTGGTGTATGCTCAATCAAAAATATATACCGAAACCATGGTTATGTTCGAACCCATGCGACGCCCGACTTGGCAATTCTTGCGCCAGCCAGAGCTAAGGTCCCCACTAGCATGGAGCTACCCATGAACATCTGCATGTATAGATATTCACCGTCATCTATCTGTATCAATGCCCCTGCAATCGGGTTCCCTGTCAAGACATCAATGCTGAGAATGCTCAGAACCATCCCATACCTGACGCCGGTCTTTTTGAGGTCGGCTGTCAGTGTGGTCAGCGTGACGGAGAAGATGCCTTGCACTGCGGCCGTGACAGCACCATAAACTACCGAGAATGCGTACAGTCCCCCGACGCTGTCGACTCCGGCCCAGGCATAGGCGATAATTGCACTGAGAAGGCTGAACGGGACAAGCAGATTCATCGGGCCCGTCCACATGTCCACACAAAAGCAGGGGATAATACGAGAGACAATGCCGACGGCATTCATGACCATGACCAGGTTTATGGAAGTTGACTCCGACGCGTGAAGAGTATTTGTCGCATAACTCCCGATGTAGAAGAAACCAATATACAGACCCAAGAAGACGAAGAACATGCCGATGGCAAAGAGCGAATAGGGCGCCTCCTTGAACGCCACCCATTCGACGATCGGACCACTCTTTCGCGGCGGAAGCCGCTGTTGGAGGAAAAGCAGGCTCGGAAGAAGAGAACCCAGGGTGATGAACCCGAGAGTGCGCATCGTCCAGGCAAATCCTACCCGTGGTAGAAGAGCGTTCACGATTCCAGGGAGGACCAGTCCTCCTGTAGCCGAACCAGTCGCTACAATCCCCATGGCGAGGGCTCGTCGTTTGGTGAAGTATGTTGGTACCAGAGACATGGTGGGACAGAACATGAGACCGCATCCGATGCCTTGGAGGACTCCCTGCGTGAGGAACAACTGCCAGTATTGGGTGCAGAGTGAAGTCAAAAAGATACTAACAACTTCAGCCGTTGCGCCAATCACCCAAGTGAGCTTGAAAAGCCCAGCATCGGTCGCTCTTCCAGAAAAGGTTCCGATGAAAAAGAGCAGAAAGGTCTGGACGCTACCGATCCAGGAGATATCCGAGGGCGGGCGGTGCAGGGTTTCGGTATAGTACGTCTGAAAGACGCCAAAGCTGTTGATGTACCCCCATGTGTTGCACATGACAAGATGGGCCAGCGCGACTTGGGACCAGGCCTTGAAGCCGCCGTCGGGAGGGGGGCCGGGGTCTCGTCCTGATTCTCTCATGCAGATGAAGAAGAGAGTTCGGGCTAGGACGGTTGTAGGGGTTGATTGTCTGGTGAGACCATCACTTTCGGGTCCTGTCTCGTTTTCTTGATTGACATCAATGGAACCGATTCCGTTCTCGTCGCCCTTGAAATGAGGATATATCGTATTGTCTTCGTGTTGTTGTTGGCTGGTCGGATCCGCGGACTCCTCCGCAATCCTCCTTGAATTCCCGAGGTCTTGCTCCATCATTTAATGTGTATTCCTGAAAAATTCCAGGTCACGTACATATGCTGACCTGGATCTAGATATCAGGGTAAATTGGCAGTTTCATGCAGGCCTTCACGGGAAGTGATTCGAGATGTCCGTATCGTTTCGCTTCGTTCGTTTTGAAAGAGGCCAGAAAATAAAAGCCCGAAAACAAGAGGGGAGAGAATAGTTTATATGTTGTATTAATTCAATCCAAAAGCGGAGGATTGGCGATTCAGTCCTCGCCTCGGAGAGTAACAAAACCAGAATTCCGAACAAGCTCGGAATTTCTCGGTTACCATATTCAGGTTAGTCTTCATCCACTACACTGAACAGTAATAGGTAGTGAAAGTCTCATATCAAATGTGTTTGATTAGTTCATCTTTCTTTTTGAGGAAAGTGATGGAGGTTGTTAGATCATTTTACCCAAAAAAAAATATATGAAAAATAAAAAATAAACGGAGGATTAGCCGTTTCAGTCCCTGCCCAGGAAAGTCTAACCAAACTAGGCTTCCGAACAAGCTCGGAATTGCTCGGTTACCGTATTCAGGTTAGTCTTTCTCAGCTACACTAGGTAGTGAAAGTCTCATATCAAATGTGTTTCATTAGTCCATTGTTTCCTTATGAAGAAAATGATAGAAGGAAGGGTGTTAGATCATTTTACCAAAAGAAGAAAAAAGAAAGAAAGAACAAAGATAAAGTTAGTAAAACGGGAGAAACGAAAAGCAAATGATGACTCCGTATTTGTAGTCTGAATTATAATATCTACTCTGCTTAGGGTGTTAATCATGTTGGAGATCAGGGAAACAGAGTACTTTTTAATATGTAGCCTCCTTAGAGCGATTCATGAGGTAGATTTATAATACGAGTGAGGAGCAACGGAACAAATTTGGATTGTCGAAGATTTGAAGACCGAGTGTAAACCGTCAAAGCTCTGGTAAAACACAAAAAGCTTCCTCAAAGTCTTCCGGTAGGGGCGGGGAATCTGGCAACGACCCATGGTAAGTAAAAGACTGCATGGAATATCGGGCGAGCCAGATACTACCTACTCCAGAGTATGGAATCATAAAGATCAAATGGAGACATTTCGTCAAGCAGGCCGGTAAAAATATTGTCTGATACTATAGTATTGTTGTCGGCAGTATCTCTGCAGGCGGTACTTATAAGTAAATGACTTAAAAATGCGCGAGGATAGAAGTAGAATTAATAAAGCAAGAGTATTACACGTCAGGGAAGACTCACTCTGAGGTTGTGGGGAGAGGGCTGGGAAGAGGATGAATGTAGCCCATATCTGCGTTCTTCTGTCGAACATTGTGCGATACCTTCGGCCTCGATGTGCTGCCCTCATTTGGTTCGTTCTCCTTGCTAGGGGTACTCCGTCGCCCATAGAGGCTTTTAAGAGTGCTGAGCGCCCTTATATGCATCCTAGATAAGACAAGGTTGCTGGATTCGGAATCTCCGCCTTTTCCAGGGATACCGGTCGAAAGGACATTGATCAGACTACCTTGTAACCTCCGCACTTCGGGGTCATGATTTGTATCATCCATAAGAGCCAACAAAAGAGCTGAACTAATGCCATTATGGAAAAACCCCCAAGACCTCGAAGCGTATACACTCAAAGATTGAAGTTTTATGAAAGCACGCAGACTTTCTTTGAGATTCTGCTTACACTTTTTAGCAAGCGAATCCCGAACTTCGGTATCCGGCCAAGACCGTGTGCGTGATGAGAGTGCCGGACGACAGAGCCAAGATATCGCAAATGAGACATGTAATCTAAGTGCATAATAGTGGCAGTGCTCTTGAATACTAGAACAACGATTTGTGTCTTGCAGCTCGGGGCAGGACCTAGCAAATATCTTTTCTATCTCTTCGATATTTCTAGCAATCTGTGGGAATTCCTGTGTCTTCGACAGTGAGAGACCATGGCTAGCACAATAGTTGAGGTGATACATCGCTTCTTTGTAGGATAAAACCTTATCTTCCGGTGCAACCAGTAGAGCTGGGAGGGTAGCAGGTGGTCGGTCGAAACATAGTGAAAGGATGGTATCTTGCCATATAACGGATAACCTGGGAAAGGTGTAAGAGGTAACATCCCGTCTGGGATTTTCCGGCGCCTACCAGAGATTCCGTTTCATGTTATGAGAAGGGGGCGTCGTGTGCTCGTCACAATTTTCTCTATGGAGTCCAATACTCTGGGCCAACCTTACGGTTGTTCCTAGTAATATCCAAGCCGCTTCTGGTTTGCAATCATTCCGTAATACGTTTCCAAGTATCAAGAATGTTTGGACACAAGTTCTTGTTGGCTTAAGTAGGAAATTGGCCTGGCGAAGAAATTGAAATGAATACTCGGCTATTCACGGGTGAGCAATGGTAGGACGGAAACCATTCATCCGGATCCTGTGGGGCTTACTGAAAGCTTGCGAGAGCCGGATGCGCTC